GTAAGCCTTCAGAGTTTTGTGGAAGTTGGTACTGATAATAGTCAACACTGTGGGTGTAAGCCTTCAGAGTTTTGTGGAAGTTGGTACTGATAACAGTCAACACTGTGGGTGTAAGCCTTCAGAGTTTTGTGGAAGTTGGTAATGATAATAGTCAACACTGTGGGTGTAAGCCTTCAGAGTTTTGTGGAAGTTGGTACTGATAACAGTCAACACTGTGGGTGTAAGCCTTCAGAGTTTTGTGGAAGTTGGTAATGATAACAGTCAACACTGTGGGTGTAAGCCTTCAGAGTTTTGTGGAAGTTGGTACTGATAACAGTCAACACTGTGGGTGTAAGCCTTCAGAGTATTGTGGAAGTTGGTAATGGTAACAGTCAACACTGTGGGTGTAAGCCTTCAGAGTTTTGTGGAAGTTGGTAATGGTAACAGTCAACACTGTGGGTGTAAGCCTTCAGAGTTTTGTGGAAGTTGGTACTGATAACAGTCAACACTGTGGGTGTAAGCCTTCAGAGTTTTGTGGAAGTTGGTAATGATAACAGTCAACACTGTGGGTGTAAGCCTTCAGAGTTTTGTGGAAGTTGGTACTGATAACAGTCAACACTGTGGGTGTAAGCCTTCAGAGTTTTGTGGAAGTTGGTACTGATAACAGTCAACACTGTGGGTGTAAGCCTTCAGAGTTTTGTGGAAGTTGGTACTGATAATAGTCAACACTGTGGGTGTAAGCCTTCAGAGTTTTGTGGAAGTTGGTAATGATAACAGTCAACACTGTGGGTGTAAGCCTTCAGAGTTTTGTGGAAGTTGGTAATGATAACAGTCAACACTGTGGGTGTAAGCCTTCAGAGTTTTGTGGAAGTTGGTAATGGTAACAGTCAACACTGTAGGTGTAAGCCTTCAGAGTTTTGTGGAAGTTGGTACTGATAACAGTCAACACTGTGGGTGTAAGCCTTAACAGTCAACACTGTGGGTGTAAGCCTTCTGAGTTTTGTGGAAGTTGGTACTGATAACAGTCAACACTGTGGGTGTAAGCCTTCAGAGTTTTGTGGAAGTTGGTACTGATAACAGTCAACACTGTGGGTGTAAGCCTTCAGAGTTTTGTGGAAGTTGGTACTGATAACAGTCAACACTGTGGGTGTAAGCCTTCAGAGTTTTGTGGAAGTTGGTACTGATAACAGTCAACACTGTGGGTGGAAGTTGGTAGTAAATCTAGTACATTTTAATTGAGTTCAGTGTTTATTTATCATTGTAGTTAAGAGACAGTATCATAAAGACTTCACTTTACTTAGATAAAAAAGTTTTTACTTTTGGTTGATCTCTGGATTGAGATCAATGATTAGTCATCCTTATGGACATTCTATTTTCTTACCTACTGAACAGCTCAATGTTCATAATTACAGCCGTTTGATCTTTCAGCAGACAAGCTTTTTCTAATGTTTACACACTGACAAACTGCTGATAAGATGGGTTAACTCAGTATGAATCAGAACATGGACACCAGGAGTGAGTAGGATGGATTCCCCACCTGGCAACTTAATGTCAAATACTGTGTACATTGTATTGGCATATTGTCATCACAATGTATGCTTCAACACGCAAGACATTTCATAAGAACATACCAGTCAAATATCATGCCTCTAAACCTTTTAGTTCATGAGAAAAAAGTTGTTTAAAGGTTTTATCAAGTTTGACTCCTGTGACCTTGAACATTCTTCAAGGTAATTCCTTTTCATAAACTTGGTCCAGCTTCATCATAGAAACATACCAGTCAAATATCATGCCTCTCAGCCTTTTAGTTCATGAGAAGAAGTTGATTAAATATGTTGACCCCTATGACCTTGAATATCTGTCAAGGTCATTTCTTTTAGTAAACTTTGTCGAGCTTCATCCTATGAACATACCAGACAAATATCAAAACATTTGGTTGATTAGTTATTTAAGAAGTTGTTTAAAGGAAAAAGATGATGCGGTACAACAGACAGACGAAGGACGTCACACCACAGTATAAGCTCATTTAGCCATACCATCCAGGTGAGCTCATAATGTTTATCTATCTGCTACACTTTCTTACATTTTTTATCCAATCTGGACTTCCAGTGGTGTTATGACATTTCTTTATTAAATAAGAACATAACTTTTACATACCTGGTACCAGGGTAATATTTAAGTGGTATGGGACTCTCTGACTGCATATGTCAGTAATACTGTGTATGTTTTTTAGGTGAGTCCCAAACACCATTTCCAAAATTTTGACAAGTTCCCTTTCTCATCCAATCACTCAGATACATTGGGTCCTCAAACTCAGAGGTAGGCCTAGACTCAAATATCAGAGTCCCAAAAAGCACTGATACATGTATGTTTATCTCAATCTATAGTTATTTCAAATCGATCGTGGAATCTATAAGCATAATGTATCATTGTTTAAAATTTTTCAATGGAAGAGAGTTCAAAATTAAAATTTCTCATAAAGAATTTGATGCCTTGCATCATAATTATGATATTAACATATATTTCAGCATAATTCGCAAAGGGAGATAATTCCATGAGTTTTGTAGGAGATTTAACCTTATATTTTACAGCAATTATATCTCTACTGGATTGATACTAACTAAGGAAAGTATACAAATATGAACAACCTTATAAAAGACAGGAAAACTCTGAATTGTTCAAGGGCATCAAATTGACTACTGGATAGTTGGTAGTAATTCAGGGGAATCTAATTTCAATATATATACTTACAATAAAGATAGCATGAGTTAAATATAACCAGCGAACATTTCATCAGTGAATGAAAATCTTTGAAATTATCTGTTATGCCTGTATACAAAGACACAAATTCACAGACATGCATAAAATTTAATAACTGTGACCCAAAAATTAAATTATACAGTATGTGGTTTTCAATGAAATATAATGCCTACAGGTTTGACTGCACACTGTACAGTTATATCAGGCGCATTTAGTTTGAGAATGAAGAGGAAATTATGATGCATTGTGTCATGATGATGATGATGTAATTTTTGTAAGATTTATCCGTATGAATCCAAAGCGCCATTTCCGAATCTTTATGAGTCCCATTATTAATAGAGAGGATTCTCAAAAATTTTGGGCGACTCTCAAAAAAAAAGAGTCCAGGACTGAAATATCTGGGTACCAAAAATACTGAATTGTATTCCAATATCTCAGATTTAATAAAAATCATGTTTGAAGAATTTGAGGAATTGATTCACTATGTCAACATGAAAATAAGTATATTTTGATCATAAAATCATTGATGTAAAATTCAAAATGTACATAGGACAGACTATAAGGTACTTGTATCTGATAAGTCCATAATGTACTCAATGTAGAAACTTTTCATTGATAATGTATTTTCACATGTTAATACCAGAAACAAGTGCGTGTAAACTTACCAAGTTTAAATCAGGTGTTTGTTATAAATATTCATATGTCATCACATTTTAAGCATCGTTAACATGTGATGTATATATACACCTGGTTAAAAACTGACAAATAAAAATTACAGGATTTTGTTGCTCACAATGTGGTTTTAGAGAGTACACTTACACTAAGATGTATTCTCTTTAAAGTTTCAGAAGCACAGCTCTGAGGCTCAAATTAACATACTTCAAACATTAATCTATTGTATGTCTTCACTAGATCAATTTTAAAATGCCATGCAGATACTAATATATGCTTTTTAAAATTGATTTCAAAGTAAGTTAAAATCTTTATTGAAATGATTACAGGAATCTTTATTTTCTAAAACAGCAGGAATTTTATAAATGTCAGAGGAGCAGGATACCACCTTTACTTGTCTGTTTTTTGTGAATCAATAATTGTATTTCAGTAAAAGTACAACATACATGTTCAGCTAGCATTATTTTTTGCAACATTAAAACTTATGATGACAATGTCTTTCACTGGCAAACATAGCACATGTATTGCAATTTGCATGACACTGTCATTTGCTATTTCTCACCATCTTCAGACATCACACAATTTACAGGTAAATACATTTTCCTCATTAATACTAATTAGATGCTCATAGGGCAAAAATAATTTAATTTTTACAGCAGAAGAATTTTTATATTCCATATTGGACTTCACTCCTCTTGTATACCCCATTGATTCTCCTTCACCCAAGAATGCTTAAGACCAAATTGGGACAAAATCCTGGCATTCACACGAAAGAAGGCTTTTAAAGACTTTTTCCCATATTGGGGCCTGCCCTTCCTGCCCTGCCCTGGAGTAGGAGGGGCATGACCAATAGTGGAAACAGAGCAAATTCAATAAAACCCTACCCCTTTTGTAGAGAAGGTTAAATTTTGCCCAAAGTTCAGCTGAGGCATTCCTGTGTACAGGGGAATCAATTTTGTATAAACAGTTGGCATTGGCTCCATAGTACTGGAACCATTATAGGGAAAATAGAACAAAATCTTTAAAATAACTCTTCTTTAGGAAAAGCAAGATTCTGTCTCAATTTGATCTGAAGGATCAATGGTCTGGCTGAACACCTAGGCACAGAGGGTAGTGGCCCGATGGGAAAAGAGATATGGTGTATGTCGTGTGCTTGTCTCTAGAATGCCTTTTCCAATAGTTTTCATGAAGTAATTTCAGCCAAGCAAAGCCAAGTGAGCAATATGGGCATCTTGTTTAAGAAGAAAGTGTTAACCTTGATGTTAATATAGAATTTCTACAGCGTTCGAGACATAACACGGTCAAAGGACATCCTTTATGGACTTGGTCATAAGTCCAGCATTTACCGCCACATGCATAGATTTCGTAATATTGGTATAGTCATTGAGGTACCGATATGGACCGTGGGTTGGGAATTTAAAGTGCCAAGTCCTTGTGTCTGTGTCATGAGACTACATTACAGGTGATATACAGGCAAGTAAAACATGTCATGTTTCGATTGAAGAGATTGACATGTGTGATGTAGATTTACCAAGATGCAATGATTACCAAAAAAATAAAAACAGGATGAGAAAGAGGAGGTTCCTTACCTGGCCTGATCCTCTCATGTTGTTAACATCCTCATTTCTTACATGTAACTCCTGCTATTTCAGTTGTATAATAGCTGATTTCATCTAAAACATCCACTGTGAATATATAAATACACATTTAGCACTACTTTTGAAATTACTAAACAATTTCACTGTGAGGCTGTTTTTTAACATCAAAAACATGTCAAACAGGTGCTGGGCAATGTACAATATTTGTTATTCATGACCATTAAAACAGAACAATATTAGCCTTGACAACTATACCTCTCTAAATTACATTTTGTTCTCTTGAAAGCAGATGTAGGTCCCCTGAGTAGATGTATTAACGCGTGATTCAAACCACTGGGTAAAAAACAAGAAGACAGTAACGTCACAGAAGTATGCTTCCATACATAGTAGCAAGCATTACTGGTTCAGTAGTATACAAATGCTGAACGTCTGACCCACATTAGGAACAGATAAGTTTTGGCATTTTGCGTGTGCTACTGTCTTTGACAACAAGCGAGGTCGCTTACTAAATATTGGAGTCACATGCCATAAAGCGACCATAGACTCAGAGACTTGCCTGATTGTGTTATGATGATGTAAACTCCACAGGTGATCGTCTACGAAATATACTTCCTCCATTAAACAGTCGCAGCGACGCCTGGTGGTGACATTTCGCACGAGCACCTTGTTAATTGCTTCGTAGAAAAGATATGTAGGTCTTCGCGGAAAAACAGACTCGTAATTAAGCGGAGCAACAAACTAGTGCGTTTATGAAGCAATTAGATAGGTTACTACATATATCAAAGGTATTCTTTTGTATCTCTCTGCACTCGGAATAAAGGATAATAAAAGTGTTAAGGGGAGACGAATCGTGAAGGTTATCGATGATTTGTGGATGTGACTCGAGAGAAATGATAAATTTGTAGAGAGGATAAACATCATTCAAATCGGATTATAAGCTAACTCGGGAAAGCATCATTTATGCAGATCAGTGTGGATGTCATGTCGTAGTAATGTTTTACGACGTACGTTGTTCACAGATGAAGGAATACTCAATAAATATACGCATTTATAGTGCTATCTCACTGAAATGTCATTCCGTCACGTCCTACCCAACTAAATGTACTTTGCATAAACCTGTCCAACCACCACCATATTTCGACGGAAATTGTTCACCACTTTTGTGGCATTTTACACGTTTGTAATCTTCATGCTTAAGGAAATAAACATATGTAGCTCTCTATCTCTATCTATATTTGGTCATGATTTCAACATAGGATTGAGTGGAAAACACACACTAATATTACAACACCCTTATTTATTTATTGTTATTTTTACCAAACTCGGCTCTTTCGCAGCGTTTGGCAGGACATCAATTTAAAGGGAGTTGTCTCTCTTCGTACGACCCGTGATGAACAATAACCATTTCAGAAAGCCGTGAGACCAAAAATAGCTGGATGGTCATCGTGGGGAGAGAATGTCATGCACGCAAACATGACCTTCTTTTTTGCCTCTGACCTTGCCCCCTTGATCAATGAGCGCCAATATGCAATTAGGTCTAGAACTTGGTGTAATAGTCGTGGGTTTCACGAGATCTTTACACACGAACACACACACGCACACGTACCATTAAGGGATTACTCTATTCACTATACCCCTCCCAAAACCACGGACTTGTAATTTTATATGATACCTACCAAAATCAACCAATTCATAAAAAGAAGTTGAGAAATGTATCATAACAATGATATATCGCCATACTATCGACGGTTTGATGTACCAGGGACGTATGTAACAATATATCTGTATTATACGTCCCTGGATCTACCCATTTTCTATATAAATTAATAAAGATAGAAGGCCAAGTTCACGTCTCTGATCTAGGAAGATGACATGAGCACGTGTAAAAGCAATACTTATTTTTTCTTCTGAATGACAATGTGTCGTGAATAAAATGGGGAAGATTTGTCATTCACACTCCTTTTTCAGTGAGTACAATCACAGGGTCTTGACAAGAATTCCTAATATCATTGTATAATAACACATGGACGTGGCACGGACCATATATATGTATTATATAGTAACACACGGATTTGGCCCGGGTTCCAACCCATGGTCTATATATATGTATTGTATTGTGACAAGGATAGCAACTCACGAGAAGTGAAAACTGAACATATTTTATTTATTTATTTTTAATTCTAGGGGCCATATTTCTTAATAACGCTTACATTACCTTTAACAGAAATGTTTTATCACATAAAAAAGACATCACGACCTTGACCTACTTAGCTGTAGATCTGTGACACGATGACCTTAATTAATGGTAAATAGTTATCTTGACCTTGACCTAACTTAACAGTGTAGGACATCTTTCCAGTGAGTGTTTGATACATATATACGGTCCGTGCGTGGGGAATTCGTGTCAAGTCCCCTGTCGCTATACAATACATATATATGGTCCGTGGGTGGGGAATTCGTGTCAAGTCTCATGTCCCTGTATAATACATATATATGGTCCGTGGGTGGGGAATTCGTGTCAAGTCTCATGTCACTATACAATACATATATATGGTCTGTGGGTGGGGAATTCGTGTCAAGTCCCATGTCACTATATAATACATATATATGGTCCGTGGGGTGGGGAATTCGTGTCAAGTCCCCTGTCGCTATACAATACATATATATGGTCCGTGGGTGGGGAATTCGTGTCAAGTCCCATGTCACTATATAATACATATATATGGTCCGTGGGTGGGGAATTCGTGTCAAGTCCCATGTCACTATACAATACATATATATGGTCCGTGGGTGGGGAATCCGTGTCAAGTCTCATGTCCCTGTATAATACATATATATGGTCCGTGGGTGGGGAATCCGTGTCAAGTCTCATGTCACTATATAATACATATATATGGTCCGTGGGTGGGGAATCCGTGTCAAGTCCCATGTCACTATATAATACATATATATGGTCCGTGGGTGGGGAATCCGTGTCAAGTCTCATGTCCCTGTATAATACATATATATGGTCCGTGGGTGGGGAATCCGTGTCAAGACCCATGTCACTATATAATACATATATATGGTCCGTGGGTGGGGAATCCGTGTCAAGTCTCATGTCACTATATAATACATATATATGGTCCGTGGGTGGGGAATCCGTGTCAAGTCTCATGTCCCTGTATAATACATATATATGGTCCGTGGGTGGGGAATCCATGTCAAGTCCCATGTCACTATATAATACATATATATGGTCCGTGGGTGGGGAATCCGTGTCAAGTCTCATGTCACTATATAATACATATATATGGTCCGTGGGTGGGGAATCCATGTCAAGTCCCATGTCACTATATAATACATATATATGGTCCATGGGTAGGGAATTCGTGTCAAGTCTCATGTCACTATACAAAACATATATATGGTCCGTGGGTGGGGAATTCGTGTCAAGTCTCATGTCCCTGTATAATACATATATATGGTCCGTGGGTGGGGAATCCGTGTCAAGTCTCATGTCACTATATAATACATATATATGGTCCGTGGGTGGGGAATCCGTGTCAAGTCTCATGTCACTATATAATACATATATATGGTCTGTGGGTGGGGAATTCGTGTCAAGTCCCATGTCACTATATAATACATATATATGGTCCGTGGGTGGGGAAGTCGTGTCAAGTCCCATGTCATTATACAATACATATATATGGTCCGTGGGTGGGGAATTCGTGTCAAGTCTCATGACACTATACAAAACATATATATGGTCCGTGGGTGGGGAATTCGTGTCAAGTCTCGTGTCACTATACAATACATACATATGGTCCGAGGGAGGGGAATTCGTGTCAAGTCTCATGTCACTATATAATACATATATATAGTCCGTGGGTGGGGAATTCGTGTCAAGTCTCATGTCCTTGTATAATACATATATATGGTCCGTGGGTGGGGAATTCGTGTCAAGTCTCATGTCCATGTATAATACATATATATGGTCCGTGGGTGGGGAATCCGTGTCAAGTCTCATGTCACTATATAATACATATATATGGTCCGTGGGTGGGGAATCCGTGTCAAGTCCCATGTCACTATACAATACATATATATGGTCTGTGGGTGGGGAATTCGTGTCAAGTCCCATGTCACTATATAATACATGTATATGGTCCGTGGATGGGGAATTCGTGTCAAGTCTCATGTCATTATATAATACATATGTATGGTCCGTGGGTGGGGAATTCGTGTCAAGTCTCATGTCACTATATAATACATATATATGGTCCGTGGGTGGGGAATCCGTGTCAAGTCTCATGTCACTATATAATACATATATATGGTCCGTGGATGGGGAATTCGTGTCAAGTCTCATGTCATTATATAATACATGTGTATGGTCCGTGGGTGGGGAATTCGTGTCAAGTCTCATGTCACTATACAATACATATCTATGGTCCGTGGGTGGGGAATTCGTGTCAAGTCTCATGTCCCTGTATAATACATATATATAGTCCGTGGGTGGGGAATTCGTGTCAAGTCTCATGTCACTATACAATACATATATATGGTCCGAGGGAGGGGAATTCGTGTCAAGTCTCATGTCACTATATAATACATATATATGGTCCGTGGGTGGGGAATTCGTGTCAAGTCTCATGTCCCTGTATAATACATATATATGGTCCGTGGATGGGGAATTCGTGTCAAGTCTCATGTCATTATATAATACATATGTATGGTCCGTGGGTGGGGAATCCGTGTCAAGTCAAATGTCACTATATAATACATATATATGGTCCGAGGGAGGGGAATCCGTGTCAAGTCTCATGTCACTATATAATACATATATATGGTCCGTGGGTGGGGAATTCGTGTCAAGTCTCATGTCATTATATAATACATATGTATGGTCCGTGGGTGGGGAATCCGTGTCAAGTCTCATGTCACTATATAATACATATATATGGTCCGTGGGTGGGGAATCCGTGTCAAGTCTCATGTCACTATATAATACATATATATGGTCCGTGGGTGGGGAATCCGTGTCAAGTCTCATGTCAGTATATAATACATATATATGGTCCGTGGGTGGGGAA